AGGTCTGCATCTCCTTAGAGACTCCTTAGAGGGGGTGGACTACACAGTCTATGTATAGCTGTCTCCATCTGGACTAGCTGTTTTAGCCTTTCTTTGTACTCAATGAAGAGAAATAGATGCTTCCAAAGTGCTCACACAGAGAAGACATCTAAAGCGACACCCAGGTTTATTGTGTTCTCAAAGGGATCATTCCTGTTCCCAGGGACATCTCTGCTGGGACTACCTGTGGTTAGGCAGTCATACTCTCCATTCCTGGACACGTCCTCACTTGGTAGGTAAAGTTCTTGTCTCTACTCCTGACTCACACTTTTGGCTGGTGGAATTTCACCCTCTTTTTGTGTTTTCTGCCTTCAGGGTCTTTGAACTGTCCTGTTGTGGTTCTCAGCAGCAGCAGTGTCCCAAGTCAGGACTGGCTCTGCAGCTCTCAGAAGAGTGACTGTCTACACAGAGCTGTTTATGGCAATAGCTCCTGCCAAAAAACTATTTCAGTAGAGCTGTTTGCAATAGATTTTCTTTCAGATGTGTTATTAAAAAGCCTTCTTCTGGAGCAATTGGTGTTTTTCCAGTGTTCAGCAGTTATTCTGGTATGCAAGTGCTTATACCGGAAAATGGCTTCTCTATAGAAATGGCATGTGATGAAAAATGTATATTCCTGTAAGTTGGGACCAGGCTTTGGAGGAGAAGAAAATCAGATATGACAAGGAGCTTCTGCTGAGAATAGGCTGTGGGCCCATGCTCTGGGGAATCCAACCCTGTGAGATGCTTCTAAATGATATTAGATATAGACTCACCTTAGTGTCACCCTTTCCTCCATTTGGTCCTAAGCAGTGGAGTTCATGAAGATTTCAGGTTTCAGGGATTTAAAATAATATTCTCATCACTATATGGTAATTAAAGTCAAAATACAGTTTGCCAACCACCAGACTTCTCTTAGATGTCCAAGGAACCTAATTAGTATTGCAGTTGCACCTTAAGTTTCTCCAGACACAGATGCCACCAACAACCCTCAGCTGTATAGACTACCACTGCTCGCTGAAGGAATTTCTCCATTTTTCTAACTCAAGGAGGATGGCCAAGCAGACCCAGACATGAAATGAACACCTGGCTCTCTGCAAATCTTAGATTCAAGGCAGGATGTTGAAATCATTGCATTCAACCCTCCAGCTAGAGTGGTTTAGAAGGCCTATAAACTTCCTACCCACTCACTTCCTACCCAGTCTTGCTCGGCAAGCTATAATTTTAATTTTTAATGAAACCTTCTGAACATGTCACCATATTGCTCTGTCAAGTAGAAGATGGGAAGGAGATACTCAGTGTGATCTTCCAGAGGGAGATTTCACAAGGATGAATCCTGTCATGCTTTGACACAGTGACCCCCCCCTTGGCACAACGGCTTTAGCACCAGGCACCCTAGCCATCAGTGCAATGAGTGACTCATTACAGATATGTGTGATTCACATTTTTATCCTTATTGGATTGCACCATCCATCCTGGGATGGGTGAATCAGTTTGTCTTGGACAAAATGTGGAGCCCATCAAACCAAGTTTATCGATTCCAATGCTTAAGAAAAAGCCTGGTTACTTTATTAAACTTGATTTTTAATAGAAAAAATTACATTGCTGGAGGCTGATTCAGTGCTATGCAGAAGCCAAAGAGTTTATGAGCCTAACTTTATTTTGTCCCACTAGAGACAGTAGGAAAACAGCCAAAGGGGAACAGCCAAGGATTGTTTTTTCCTTTAAAATTTCACCTGTGCCTTTCCCCTGGAGTGGAGTAATGAAAGAGGGAGCCAAGCAGCAAGGCTGAAATGCAAACAGCGAACTTGGAACCTCAGTGTTAATTTTGGATCCTGTCTAGAAAGAACAACTGAACACAGTGAGTTTCTTGTGGTGTGTTGCACGGTTCTGCAGGAGAGAAATGAAAGGAGTAAGAAAGTGACAAACGTTACAGACAAGTGCTCTGTTGGACATGGGATGTAGTGCATTGATTCATACCTTGGCTTATTCCTAGGTGCTGCTATATTTGTTGGTCATAGAAGATATTGGAAAAAAAGATTGATATTTATGGAAGGAGCACAACAGGATGATGTTGTCTCTGATTCACTGCTGAGATGACCTTCCTTTTCTCTTGGTGTTTCCCCTGGGCAACCAGTAGCTTCCATAAATTAAAAGTTTTAGATTGACCTTGCCAGTGCCTTGATTTTTGACACAGTACTGATTAACAAGGGTAGTTCACTTTAAGCACTTTGACACTTGATGTTTGAATCACACCGTGATTGGAAACGTAAGTCCCTTGCTTGGGCTTCAATAGCTTTTATACCACCACCAGGAGATCAGACATGAATTTTTGTGACAGGCTTTTGGAAATTTCTTTTTTTCAAACATTTGTGCTGTGAAAGAGAATCTTTGCATGTCCATGAAAAGCAATGCTAAAAGCATGGACATCTTGCTGTGTCCATCCACCACTAGGAGAGCTCAGCAGCTCTGAGGGCCTACCTTGTTAGCCTTGCTGCTACATCCTTTCTTGTTTACTTCCACTGACCCATGGACTTCTTCTAGAACGGGTACCTATCCCTTGTGCACCAGTTGCTGCAGAAGATGGGTTTTTTTGGAAAGCTGTTCCTGCTATGTGTCAGCTGGAGTCCAGCTCAATGGTGTGGCAGGGCAATTCCTGCCTTGGCACAAAAGAGTTCCAGCATTGGGCCTGTCAGATCTTACCCACACTTTGATTAGTTATTTCTTCTGAAAAGATCTTCCATTCCTTCTAATGTTGCATCACTTTCCCTTCCCCAAGCTCCTTCCTAGACAATAACATGGCTGTTAGGAAAGAAATTGCATAAGTCCCTATTGCTCATTTTAAGTCATTGGAGCTCCGTCTGCAGTGATTCACCCTCACAACACCCTGGGAAGGGGATCCAATATCACTCTCTTCAATTTACTGATGGAGGAGCTGAGGTGTGGAAAGGTGAAGGATTTGCTCAGGGTCAGGCAGTGAGTCAGCTGCAGAGAGGGTGTTGGAGAGCCCACCCCACCCTGGCTCCTCAGGCTCGCGTACGTCTAGACTTCTCCAAGCACCAGCTTTGATGCTGGTGTTGCCACTGTCTTCCAACACCAACCAGGGATCCTAGACATCTCCCTTCCTTTTACCAGTTGTAAGGAAATGTTTGTATTCTCAACTTATGGCCAGAGGGGCTCAAATGCTGCAGACAGGAGAAACGTACCTAACTACATGGAAAACATGACACCTCCCCTTGCCATTTGCTCCACATCGTCT